TTTCGACGGAATAAGGACAAAGTTCAGAACACATTATTTCAATGTCTCAGTCGGTTAATGAAACATTATGCAACCATTTTAAACAATGTAACGTAACGTAACGTATTTGCCATATAAACAACAACAAATATTATAACGATTGATAATAATGATAATGATCATTATGATTATGATTAGTATGATAATAATAATAATTTTAATCTGATTTTATTATACATCTTATGTAAATGTAAATGTTGTAAAAACGTATGAAAACAACACACATATATATATATATATACATACAAACTCTTATTCAAAATTTATTTATAAACATTAATTATTTAAATTCTTGTCAATTAATTAATTAATTAATTAATGATGATGAAGAAGTGGTGTAAGTAACGGTCGTCGTTTAAAAAAAAAAAAAAAAAAATTGCAATTTAAAAATTAAATTTCAAGTGCCAATAATTCAATTTGAATTTTTTTTTTTTTGTAGTCGTCGCGTAACCTTGAATTGAAAAAAAAAAAAAAAAACTTTTCTTTTTATAATGATAATGATTAATAATAATAATAATAAATAATAATAATAATAATAATAATAATAATGATGATAATAATAATAATAATAATAGTAAACCAACCAGATTAAAAAAAACGCGCTTTTTTTTGTTTTGTTTTGTTTTGTTTGGAGTGCGAAGAGAAGAGAGAAAAGAGAAAGAGAGAGAGAAAAAAAATATACAAAGTTCTAGAAAATTCGGTGTGTGTGTGTGTGTGTGTGCGTGTACAGAAATAAACTGATTCTTATTTTTCCATTTAAAAAAAATACCAATTTTTTTTTTTTTTTTAAAACATTACCAAGTCCCATAAGTTTTACCTTAACTCGAACACGCCCTCGCCTTTTTCTTCTGTGGTTCTCCTTCGGTCGTCGTGGCAGAAGAAGACAATGATGATGATGATGATGATGATGATTCCGATTTTTTTAAACTAGTCGATATCCTTTTCATTGTTTTTTGCTTTCTCATGAAATCTGTTCGGAGAAAAAAAAATACAAACAAAAAAAAAAAATTAATGTTATTCACTGATTTACTACGACAAACTACACTAATAATAATAATAATAATAATAATAATAATAATAATAATAATAATAATATCGGTAAACACATGCCAAATTTTTACAGGGTGTTCGATATTAATTTTTCGTTTCACCCTCGGATCCCCATCTGTTATTTTTAATTTTTTTTTTCCCCTTAAAATCGTCGGCACACGCCCACATTCTACCATTTTTTTTTTTTTTTTCTCCCAACAAAAGCTTTAATCAGTGCAGACACTTTTTTTTATTTTTTTCCAATTAATAAGTTAATGAATGCTTTTATTATTATTATTATTATTATTATTAAAACAATGAATAGTTTAGTTAAGGACCGAAACAACAAAAATTTATACAAAAAAAAAAAAAAAAAATCGAATGGGTTAAAAAAAAAACATTTTCGTACGTAACGTATCCGCCCATATCATCTACTCGCATTACCACCCGGTGTGATACGAAAGAGCTTCTTGTATTAACAGGTAATTACCATGGATTCTCACGTATTCCGTACCTTAAACAGAAGCCCCCCCCCTCCACTCCCGATTAATTCCTTGACACCGAATACGAACTAATCAATTAAAAATTATATGAAATTCAAGATCCTTTTGGAATATAAGACGATGAAAAAAAAAAAAAAATCTTTTCTTTTTTTTTTTTTTTTTTTCGAAAAACAAAACACAACACGATGAACTTAATTATTTAAACCGGATGTTTTAGGTGGCAGTTGTCTGTCTTCCGTTTGCTACAAGTCTCTCATTAAAAACAAAAAAAAATTGCACATGTTTGCCGCAAAAATATACAAAATAAAAAAACATTTTGTTTTGCAATGTTTTTGATCGAGATTTGTGATCATGCGAATAAAACGTGAACCTTAACTAAAAATTTTATCTTCGCTTTTTCTTTAGAGAATCAAAGGTTACTAATTTAATTTTTTTTTTATTTGCCACTAGTGTGGCCAATATTTACAAATTATTTATAAATATATATTTATTAAATTTATTTCATTCAAATTCATTATTTAAAATTATACCTACATGTACCTTTTTTTGATGATATCAATAATACTTATTAAGAGAGAGAGAGAGAGAGAGAGAGAGAGAGAGAGAGAGAGAGAGAGAGAGAGAGAGAGAGAAAACATTCGCTCACATAAAAATTATTATTATTACTATCAAATAAAAAAATTTTTCTTTTTTATTACGTAAACGTTTTTCTTTTTTCTTTCCAATCATTCATTTTTCGTAATGGACAAACGTAATAAACGTTTTATTATTTATCTATTTTTACATAATGATAATAATAATAATAATAATAATGTTTTTTACGACGAGGAAGTACGTGAACTTATAAAAAACTCAACGTGCGTTTCTAATTACCGTAACTGAAAAAAAAAAAAAATATTCAATACAATAAATTTTATCACGCACTTAATTATTATTATTATTATTTTTTTTTTCGTTAACCCCCAGTAAATATATTTAATTCCTTTCTTTTACGATTAATAAATAAAAAAACGTGCAATCATTAAAAAAAAAAAAAAAAAAAAGAAAATATGGCTGAGGTTTTTTCTTTCTCTTCAATGTAATTTTGATGGAATGAAAAAAAAAAAAGATTAAATAATAAATCTCGTATGTTAGATTTACTACACCAACCAGGTACACTTATGTAGGTACGTTTAAGACTTTAACGAATTCATATTTTAAACGTTTAAGGAACAAAGAATGATAATAATGACAGTATATAGACAAAGTTTTACGTTTATAATATCAATCAGGAATAAATTCTTCATCTTATCCTTATAGTTTTTGAAAAATAATAAATAAAATAATTGTCATTGTCGAGAGAGAGAGAGAGAGAGAGAGGTAAGAAGAACCAGGACATCCAAAGTGTTTCTTCATGACTTGGTCAAAGGCTGCGGGAGATAACACCAGTGGCTCACCTTGATACAAAGAGTTCGTTGAACCCCCCCAGAAGGAGCAATGCAAACTCATCTCGTTCTTTTAAAGATGCTTTACAACCAACTACAACAACCAGGTTTTTTATAATTTCCATAAGGAAATTATACTATCACATCCCATATTTATTTATAAGATTAATTAATTAATTATTATTTATACTTATTCAAATTATATAAGATTGAAAATTTAAAAAAAAAATAAAAAAATAAAAATTTCCAATAGAAAAAAAAAATTTTTTTTTTTTTCTTAAAAGAAAAAAAAAAAACCATGAAAGGTGAATTCGCACCTTTTTCGCGCCAAACGAAAACCTTTTTTTAAATAGCAAGGTTCTTTTATTCGAAAACATTCACACACACACACACGAACACAGGCACACATTCACAGGCACCTCCTAAGGGTTGCCATACAATAATAAACAACACACTATCTTATTTTTCAAATTTGATCACCTGCCTACCGTATCTCATTTCTTTCCTTATACCTTATAACCAACCCTGTCTCTCTTTCTTTTGACCTGCTAGTTTTTAAAATCTTTTTTCTTCTTCTTCTTCTTCTTTACATTTATTAAACATCTGGCCGTTTTTTTTTTTTTTTTTTTTCAAAAAAAAAAGCTACGAAGAAAAATTCCTTTTTCAATTTCTACCCCTGTTTAAAAAATTAAAATCAATTCCGCCAATGAGAGAGAGAATAAATTGTTTTCCTTTGTTCAATTTACTTTAACTATATAATAAATTTTGTGACCTGATTTTGATAGCCATCTAAATGAAGGACGTTTTGAAGGCCAGGCATAATAATAATAATGGTTCAAACATTTCTCGTGTTATTTTGTAAACAATACACAATAATAAACCACGTAATTATTTGTGAAAAGAAATAAACATTTTGCAAAATGTCAAACCCAAATTAATTTTTTTTATGGTGCCCAAAAAACAAAAACTCTACAACTCAACACTAAAGAGCATTCATTAAATTAAAGTATAAAATATTTATAAACGATTAAAAGAAAAGAAATAAAAAAATATAAAACGTTATTAATTAATAAAAAAAAAAAAAAACCACAAATTTTATGCCACACATTGTCATCAGCCATTTTTTTTTTTTTTTTTTTCTGAATGAGAATTTTACAATCATTATAATTGCAAAATAGCAAACCATTTTATGACCAGTTTAATTTCCCAAGAGAATTTTTTTTTTAAATTATAATTTTTAATTATTCAATTACAAAAACTAAATTTACAAAAATTAAATTACAAAATTAATAAAAATAATCGATTCGTGACATTTTATAATAAAAATGTCCCTTAATCACATTCGACAAAAAAAAAAAACTTCATTTTTAAATTAAAGTGTTCTTTTTCGATTATAAAAAAATTATTTTCCTATAATACAACATAAATAAAATTTGTTATTGTTGTCATTATTAAATTTTTTTTTTTGTGATGAACATGTTTAATAAATCACATGACTTTAATTTAAAATTTCTCTAAGTAAAGTTAAAAAATAACAAAACTTTTAAAATAAAACTAAAAGATTAAAAAAGGATATATAAAATTTTAAAAAAAATAATTTTATATGTCAAACTGTTGCATAATATCTCAACTTTTTTTACAATCATTTTTATGTAATAGCATTTATATTATTATTATTATTGAAGAGGAAAAAAAAAAAAAAAAAAAAAAAACAGAGGAATATTTCGAATTCATAGTAATGACATTGAAAATAAACCTATGTTCAATTACACTCATAATTAAAGCAAATTATGATGTTTTGCAGTACTAAATATTTTAAAAAAAAGGAATATATACTTCATTTTATGAAATGTAAAATAAGCCTAGTGAGAAATTTTAAGAATTCAAAATAAAAAAAAAAAAAGATTTGTTTAACATAAGCAAATATCAAGGGAAAATGTCTTCAACTTTTGCCATCGAATCTTATGTCAACATGTAAAAATTTTAATTAAACACAATTAAACTTTTAATTTATGCAACCTACAACTGGTTTAACTAAAATGACATTAACATAATAGAATAGAATAGAAACAAAAAATTTTTTTTTTTTTTTGACTTTTAAATGCAACATTAAAAGCATTGAGTTTAAAAGGTTTAATTTCGAATGCATAACGAGAATTGTAACAAATACTCACCAGTGATTACAGTTTGCTTATTGCACTTGGGAGTTTTTTTAGCCGAGGTAATCGATGAGCTTGAACATGGATTATTTTGAGTATCATCCAAATCGGAAGATTTTAGTACAGTGCAGTTGTCAGCAGCGTGCTGGCTTAAATATGGGAGTCTAGTAAGAGCATAAGCTTGAGGAACAGTTTCATTTTCTTTTAAAATTTTCCAATCGTAAACATTACCCTCGTTTGAAGGCATTGGTTTACCTGTTTTGAAATCAAAGTTCCATTTTTTCGACGCTTTTTCTCGATGCTTTTCCATTTCTTGCTGCACGTATAACTTACACTCATTGTGATCAATCGGACCGAATAAACATTTTTTTATTCTTTCAAGTGAATTGTTATCGCGTGGGGACCGTATTTCACTTTCGCTGAGATCTAAATGACCTCCGCCCCGCATAACTCTCCGCATTTCCGACATAATATATGGATTAAATACACGGGCAGACATACTGTTTAGGTATTTTCAAAATTTTTTAAATCCTTTAAATTTACTTTTATATATGTATATATATATAAATATATATTTTATTTCAAATATTAATAATAATATATAATAATGTTTACTTTATGAATATTATATATATAGAAAATTTTAAAAAGGCAAATGACAATCAAACGCCATTTATGTTACAAACCCCATTAACTTGCATAAAATGTGACCTTTATTTACCACAAAAAACTAAACCCGACAAAACGAATAACAAACACCTTTTACACTTTTTTCTATTAATGTTTCATATCCGATATATATTTAACAATTGATTATTAATAACTAAACACAATTATAATTCTTTAAATTTAAAAGAAAATAATTAAAAAAAAAAAAAGTTAAAAAAAAAAAAAAAATAACAAGCACATATATAAATATACAAAACAATCAACCTAAACAACGTCCGTAAATATACTCTACGGAACTGAAGCCAAGCTATTAAGCGTCGACTTCCCCTCCTTTTCTCCTGTTCTAAAGCCACGTCGGGGAAATTATATTCTAACTATATTTTCTGCTACGTAACGTTTTTTTTTTTTTTTTTTTTTTTTTTTTTTAAATAAAAAAAAAAAACATTTTACTTGAGCTAAGTATAATACGTTATTTATTTTTAAATTCCCTTCTTTTTTTCAACCATTAGTTTTTTTTTTTTTTTTTTTTTTTATAACCCATCGTAGATTATTTTTGAATTTTGATTTCTAGTACGAAAGCGTGGGTCGTATACACATCCTCTTGAAATTTTTTTATCTTTTGTTCTTCTAAAAAAAAAAAAAATTCGCTTTTTTTTTTTTAAAAAGTTTGGCATTAGTACAATATTTTAATTACAATTGAAAAAATTAAATTTAAAAAAAAATTATTTTTTAAATTCTGTTTAAATTTTTCCTCAGTGAGATATAACAAATTTTAATTTTTAAACATTCTAAATGTTATTTTACAATAAATAATGATTTTACAGTTGTTGAATTTATGAGTGATAAATGTGTTTAATAATCTTATTAATTTTATTTTAATTAATAATTAATAATAAAATTATTGTTGACATTTTTTTCAAATAAATAAATGATTCTTCAGTATTCTTCTTGTTTTTTTTTTTTTTAAATTCCTGTCGTTAAAAAAAAATTCATTTCGAATAAATGTAAGTTAAAAAAAAAAAAAGCAAAAATAATTTCAAATTGTTCAAAACAAAAAAAGGATAATTAAAATATTAAAAACAATTCAAAAAGATAAAAAATAATTGGTAAATTTAATTGTTGTGAAAACATTAACAAAAAAAAAAAAATTAAAAATTTAAATTATTATCTTTTTTTACAAATTATTTATACACAATAAAATTAATAATAATAACTCAAACAAAAAAAAATTTTATTTATTTAAAAATATCATTTTAGTTTTTTTTTTTTTATATTAAAAATTTTTATATACTATTCATGTACAAAAAAATTATTTATAAAACATTTTAATTATTATTATTAATAAAAATTTTTTTCACTTCGTTTTTATTTTAAAAAATAAAATTTTTCATATCACAGATTCATTATTATTATTATTATTTATATTATTACTACTTATTATATTAATTATATTAAAAAAAAAAAAGCACTTTAATAATTTTTTTTTTTACCAACCTACCCCGATTAATTATGTTACAATTAAAAAAAAAAAAAAAAAATTCAATCTCGATGATAAAAAAATTATTTAAATATTTTCACTCGAAAGGAGTTTCAAACCTTTTTTTTAATTTCAATTTCAATTTCAATTTTTTTTTTTAAAGGCATAATAATAATAATAATAATAATAATAATAATAATAATATTTAAATTGAATTTGAAAAAAAAAAAAAAAAAAAAAAATTTCCGGATTATGAAAATCCCTTCCCATCCCGAATTAAAAATATATAAAATTAAATAATTAAAAAAATATTGATAATAAATAAATTTTAATAAAAATTAAAATAATATTTATACGCTTATAAAAATATTTGCGCTAATAATAATAATAATAATAATAATAATAATAATAATAATAATTTATATATAAATTACAAATAAATGTTATTTTTTTTTTAAAAAATAAAAATTTTATTTTTCAAGCTACTTAAACTAAATTTGAATTTTTTTTATAATTACATACTGGTAATAAAAAATGATGAGATTCTATTTGTTTTTAATTGTAAACTACAAATTGTATCCGATATAAAATTATTTTAACTTGGAAAAAAAAGAAAATTCAAGTGAAATTTGTCAAGGCGTATAGACATTGTTCCTGAGCAAGGGCTCCCAATTCCTTTAACCATTCATCTAATAAAACTGCATTGAGAACGGCTCTTCTTACGTCATCCTCCTCACTTTTCGTTTCCTTATTAATAGTTTTTACGTACCTAAATCCGCTTCCGGGCCCGTCTATTTCCAATACCTTTTCTACAACTATTGGAGAGGGTTGCATGGCGCGCCTGAGAACCGAAGATATTGCCGAAGAAAAACTTCTTCTTTTGGCATCACCTGGGGGGGGGGAAAAAGAAAAGAAAATTTTAAACATGAATAACAATATTTTTTTTTTTTCCTAATGTAAAAAAAAGGTTCACAAATTTACTTCGATTAAAACCGTATAAAAAAGGCCTCTTTGACAAGGGAGCTTCGACAGCAGTTTTCCTCATGTTTGCCAACTTTTCCTCCCTTTGAAGTAAATACATGCGAGCTTCTTGAACGAGTTTCTCTATTTCTCCTGATCTATTCAACATGGTATCTAATTTTTGCTTCACTGAAGCTAAAACCTGAAAAAAAAAAACAAAAACAAAACGTTAAAGAGTTATAAATACCTTAAATTAATTATACCTAAACACTTTTAAATCATACCTGAAAAAGTGATTTAATGCTTGGCTGGAAGACTAGAGAATGATTTAGAAGTAACGAAGATAATAAAGGTTGGGGATAAGCAGCCAACCTTGAAATTATTGCTGACAACCTCAAATTCACGTACAAACTATGAAAAGGCATTTTTTCTAACGATTTAAAAAGCGTATCCAAAAACGGACCTGAATGATTCACACATAATAAGTAATATTAAAATTTTTTTTTTTTTTAAAAGTGCATAAAAATAGGTTTATACCTGAAAATGAAGAAAACTCACCAATATCAGATGTAATGCTCGCTTCTAAAAATGAATTCGATCTGGTCATTTTCTCATTATTGTTGGCCGATTTTCCAAATTCGTCTTTTTTCTCATCTTCGGGAGAAGTGTCGAGTGATTCTTTTGCCGGAAAACTATTGTATCCACTTTCTCCGATGGATTGCATGCTGTCCCCATTTTTATTATTATCACAGTTTTCATTTTTAATTGCACTATTTTTCCGCATGTTCGAACTTAATACTATCGTCGTTTTGGGATCTTCCCCGTCGTAGGGTTGAGACCAATTTTCACAGTTTTTTGCACAGGATTCAATTTTCGATTTGGCATCGCATAAATAAGCGTGATAGTTTCCATAGAGGGATTCTTCTGGACGGAGTCCGTATGCGTAAGACTGCGGTTGAGACGAAACCGGTAAACGAGTTCGAGAAGGCACTGAAAATGTTTTCATCACTGAGCAACAAATGGGAGAAAGTGAAAGGAATTTTAATGCACTTGAAGCATAAGGCTCGATTTCGCGAAGGCGGCGCCTTTGCGAAATCATCACGTGATTGCACGGCGCTAAATGCTTTAAAATTAATTCCACCATGACATCTTCCGAATCTAAATTAATAAGTGTTTCTAATAAAGACAACGTCACGACACACAACTGAAAATAAATATTAAAAAAATTAACAGAGATAAAATATGGCAATATGGAGTCGGACAATTTTACGGTTTAATAAAATAAAAAAAAAAATTTGAATTTGTACTTACTCTCGTTGGTGAGTGTATCCTAACAATGAGCGTATTTAAAATTCTTTGTCCATCGTAACAATCTTGCATTAAAAATTTTATCAAAGTTTGCAGGAGACCCGGATTGGTTGCATTTCGAATAAACAATTCATAGTAAGCAGTGGCCGCAACTAATTCTTCAACCGTGCTCTAAAATATTTTACAAATAATTTATACAACAATAGTTATATTCGTATAAAACATAATTTATCATATTGACATTATTTGTCTTTAACTTCATTTTTATTTTGATGGAATTATAATTAGCTGCTATTATTTGGTATTACATTAGAGTAAAACTAAAAGAAACAAAAAAAAAATCATCAAAATTAAAAAAAAAACATTTGGTACATGTATATTGTGAGTCCTGGAAAGAACACATTAACGAATAAAGCAAAAATATCCTTTTTTTTTTAAAAATTTAGTAAAAGTTATTTTAATTTATTATTCCCGGTTATTTGTTCATCATGCAAAACAAATTACAAAAAAAAAAAAAAAACCAAAAACATTATTTGAATATTCCATCAAAAAAAATTTTTTTTTTTTTTTTTGAACATTATGAAATTATTATGAAGAACACAATGATATATTTAAAAAACAAAAAAAAAAAAAAATAATTATAATAATAATAAAAATTTATATATACTGACCGTTTCCAGTGATGGAAAGGCTGAATGATGAATGCCGAGATTGTAGGATTCCTTTTTTATATTTTTTTTTTTTTTTATTAAAAACCAAAAAAAATTAAATAGCTTGTTAAAAAAAATGTAATTACTGACCTAAATTTTAAGTTTTTTTTTTTTTTTTTTTTTTTGTTAGGGATTGGGAAAAG